AAATGCTGGAGGGGTTGTGGGGAAAGAGGAACCCTGCTCCACTGCTGGTGGGAGTGTAGACTGGTGCAAGCACTGTGGAAATCAGTATGGAGATACCTCAAAGAACTAGGACTGGAAGTCCCATTTGACCCAGCTATTCCCCTGCTGGGTATCTTCCCCAAAGAATTAAAAGAATCATACCACAGTGATATATGTGCGCCCATGTTCACAGCAGCACAATTTTTAATAGCTAAAACTTGGAAGCAGCCCAAATGCCCATCAACTGGAGACTGATAAAGAAAATGTGTTTTTTAAAATAAAATGGAGTACTACTCAACCATAAAGAATGAGAAATTAGAGACATTTATAGCTAAATGGATGCATATTGAGGCGATACTCTTAAGTGAAATAAATAAGACACACGTGTAAATACCAAATAGTTTCTCTAGTGTGAGAAACTGAAAATGTAAATAAGGACTAAAAGGTATAATAGATAATGTGAAATCGGAAGAAAAGTGGCAAAGGAGAGGGGGAAGGGGAAGTGGGAGGGGTAGGGGAAAGGAAAGAAGGGAATGGAATTAATATGAGAAAATGCAAAAATGGAAACAAAGTCCTTGCAAATAGGGAGGGGTGGAGGGGTTGAAGGGAGGGCAGGGGAAGGGGGAAAATAAGAACCAAGAGAGATTATGTAAAGGTGCAAATTTCCAAAGATGAATGTCATTATATTGTGTACCTAAACTGTACCAATAAAATTAATTTAATAATAGAAAAACTTAGAAGAAAATGAATTATTCCTCTGGAAATAGCTGTTGTGCCAATCTCTGACTATTCCTAATGTTGTTCCTATATACAGCTCATTCTTGTTTTCAGACCCTGGGAAGTATGAGGCTCTTTGCTTCAAGACCTTTGATTTCCATCCCCACATCCCATTCCAGACCAACCCCAAGTGCCTTTTCATTCAACACCTCCAGAAGCAAATGAGTTTCTGTTGTCTAAAATTTTCTTGATATTAAAGGATTTGGGGCATTCCGGATTGTTTTAAAGTATGATAATTGAGCCTGTATTAACTTACTGCATACCAGTTCTCTGAAGAGTTCTAAAATTACTAACCTGAATCTACTTATTTTTACAATGCCATAATGTCCAGTATCTAGTTGTACCTAAATACTATGAATATTGTGTTAGTAGAAATAATCTTGTTTGCCTCATAATGAACATCTTGCTGTTTAAATGTTTTTTCACAAAGTCCGAAAAGTACATAGCATGTTCCTGCTACTGAAGACTTAAATGAAAATAGAAAACTTCATTATTACATTGCTGTGTTTTAACTATGTTGTTTTCACATTTTTGGCAGAGATGTTTAGTTTCAATAAAGATTTAATAATTTTTGAGAGAGTAACAAGACGTCTTCTAGGCTCAATTATCAGTGGATATAACAGATGACCTTGTAAACCCTTCAGTAATCTAATTCTACTCTAGGGGATTATCAGATAATGAAGAAACATATTACAGGGTTAGGAAGTGATTGTTTTCTGTGTGTGTTGTTTATATTGATGTGTTGAGTGGTGCATAGGTATTAGTGTATATTAGTGTGTTCTCATTTGTAGTGGTGTGTGTTTCAGGTTTTGTGTTGGTACATGGTAGTATATGTGTGTGAGTACTACTGTGTGATAGTATATATTGATGTGTGTCTGTGTTAGTATGGGTATTAGTATATGTATCAATATGTGTTAGTGCATCACATTGGTTTATGTTTTAGTGTTTGTGTTAGTGTACTGTAAAATTGAATTTTACTGTGTGTGTTGGCATGCATGTGTTAGTGTACATGTTAGTGTTTATTGGTGTGTGTGTTGGTATATATGTCTATATTAGTACTGGTGCTATGCATGTGTCTGTGTGTTGGTGTATCTTTGCGTTGACATTATGTGTTGGTCTTTCTATATGTGTTACAAACACAGAGGCAAGAATAAGTCAGCCAGTGGACCTGGGAGACTTGATGAGGATATTAACAAAACAAGGTTCTACTCAGATGGATCTATTTAACCTAAAGTTTGGAAGAGCAATAAGTTGAGAGAGAGCAAGAGTTACATTAAGGAGAGTGAGACCTACATGGGAAGGGAAGATACAAAAGGAAAGAAAAAAACCAAAAGAACCTGGAGAAGAGAGATCAGCAACTTCACCTGGGCCAATGGGGGAGGGGGTCTGGTTCCCCCATGGGAACTATTACCTTGAAGTGCATGAGGAAAAATGATTTAAAGGTCAAGTTCAACCACACGGGCTGAAATCCATCTCACCTTCCATTTTGTTTTGCTCTTTTTTTGAGAAACGTTAATGATAGACTTGTTGAAGGACAACGTGTAGCCCAAGAACCCTGAAAGCTTCTGAACTGAGTGGTGACTTGTGGGAGTTGACAACAGCCTCCTGTCAACGCAGCATCAGACCCAGAAAGATCCAGGAGAGCTGCCCCTGGGATTAATTATGTATGGCAGGGGTAAGGGGGAGGGTGGCAGGGAGCAATAGAACAAAAAGTATGATATGGAACATCTTTGCAGCTGTTGAACAACTTGTCTTACTTGTTAACATACTGAGATTGAACCAAAGGCCCTTTAATGTAATATACCTTAGTAAAGATTTAAGTCATAAAATTTATCTGCATAAAAGGTCTCTATGCAAGAGCTTCACCTTGCAAAACAAATTAAGGGAGGTTAAGTTAAACAAGTAATGGGTTTATAGGGGTAAATGTTTACTGTAAACATAAAAATGTCGTTTAGACTAAATTTAAGAGTAAGTTAACAAAAAAAAGCAAAAAGATTTGCCAAAGCCAAAACAAAATACAAAATCCCTCAGAAAGGAGCTGTGTCTTGGCCGCTGCCATTCCTCACAGCCCCCAAGTCCATCATTCCCCTCTCAGCAGTCACTAACGTGGCTATTTGTCTGTTTCCACACTACTGCATCACAAAACATCATGCCCACTTGCCTGGAAAAGATAATATCTCACACATATGGGGCTGCCTTTGATCTCTGTGGTCGAGCTAGAGGTCAGAGGCCTGCCTTCTCCGGGCCCTTACTTCAAATGATTCCTTTCATTTACTGAGAAACCAAACATTAGAAAGGTGAAGGCAGGAAAAATAAAAGCCATGATTTAATAGCAATTTATGAGTTCGGCCGATTTCAGGTTGAGTTTTATTCTCTTTGGGTCACATCTTATTGTCATTCCTCACTGTTCCCTGTCCTCTTCCCTCACCATTTGTTTGTTTTGCAGCCCTCAGACAAATTGGCACTCCAGAGATCTTCTCCCCTGTAACTTGTCATGTGTGTGTCTTTCCACAAGGTAGCTCTTGGAGACTTAATCCCTATTTCTTAATGACATTGTAAGTCAGAAGGCACAATTATATAGCAGACTCTTATAAATTTAAAGTATTAAACTATGCTTATTTGTGTATCTGTTAATTCCCATAACTCATTGAGGGCATGCTCTATTTGCGTACACATAAAGAAAGGAGACAGGAGCAAGCTGAACTCAGAATTGGGGCAGAACTGAGACACGGAAAATATTCTATTATATTTTGTCTTTCATAAATTAATAAGATGAAAAATTTAAATTAAGGGTGCTTCAGATTTATAGAGATGAATTTTCTTGAAAATTATAAGCAATTATATTGCAAGATCATTAATGATCATCACAATGTTGACCCTCACTGTGCCATAACACAGAATATTCACTTTAATTGAGGGCATCCCATGCACCAGTCCCTCAGGGGTATTTATCCAAGAATTTAGCTGTGCTTATTTCATTTCATCCTCACAATAGGCCTGAGGCAGATACCATTACTCCAGTTTTAAAAATGGAAATCAGTTAATCATTTTTTACACACAATAAATGTAAACCTTGTTTGATTCCTGTGGAATAGATGATTCCCTTAGATGGAATTGACTAGAATGGATGAATTTTATGAAAAGGGGTTAAAAAATACTATACTACATTTTAAAAATAGAAGGACATGAAAGCTCACACAGTATTGTGATGTTCACATCATGGTGATTCTCTGCTTTCCCTACCAATAACGGAGGAAACAGCTTCAAGGGCTCTGGATTAAGAGAGAACTGGAATCAATTCTGATTTTAGCTGTGGACATACAACATGGATGTAAAGAGATTACCCATCACGCAGAGCTGTCATGAGAATTAAATGTGGTGACCCGCGTGAAATTTTAATGCTTTCTACATACCTATATGTATGTGTTCTATATATCTATATTCCAACATATGTTCTTTAAGTCTATGTTCTAACATATAAATTCCAGATGGCTGCACTTACACCTAATATCTAGCTTTCTCTGTGTGTATATACAATCATGCATTGCTTTACGATGCAGACAGATTCTGAGTCAGTAGGCAACTATGTCTTGTGGGCGCTTTATAGAGCATGCTTGCACAAGCCTACATATTATGTAGGTCAACCATGTGCCATGGCCTCTTGATGCAATCAAAGGACACAGTCACCATAAGATGTATGAGGCTACTGCTAGAGTAACACAGCAGAACATTTTACAGTAAATTTTTTATAAATAGACTAACCCTAAAATGATGATAAAAGTATAGTATGGTAAATTCACAAACCAGCAACATAGTCATTTATTATCACCATCAAGTGTGATGTAAAGCATATAATTAATTATATGTGCTATGTTTTTATATAATTAGCGATAGGTTTGTGCACACCAACACCACCACAAATACCACTGATGCATTGTGCTATGATGTCAGAATGGCTATAATATTGCTAGGTGATAGGAATGTTTTATTTTTATCATAATCTTATAGGACCACTGTCATATATACAGTCCCTCTTTAGCTGAAATATTGTTATGCAGTGTGTGACTGTCTTAGTTACTTTTCTCTCATTGCTGAAACAAAATACCTGACACCCAAAGTTAAAGGGGGAAAGGTTTATTTGGCTTACAGTTTGTAGAGGTTTCAGTCCATAATCAGCTGGCTCCAAGGCAGGGTGGTAGAGGGGCAACAGTTCATGGTGCCAGGAGACAGCAAAAGTAACAAGAGAAGCAGTAGGGCCATTTCGGAGGAGAAACAGTTCACGGCACCTGCAGGGTAGCAAAAGGAACAAGAGACCTTAACAGTGTCTTTCTGCTCCTTTTATCCCATCCAGACTTCTGAGATTAGGGCAGTGCCATACCAATCACTCATGTGTAGTCATTTAGTAATCACACAATCACATGCCCTTAATCCCAGCATCACACATTCCAGATTCAGCCACCTCTGAAAAAGAAAGCCCCGCCTCATCTGCATGAGGCTTTGGGGGGACATCTAAACACAAGGCATAACGGTGACTGTCTAGAAAATTAGAGCAGCTTGGATACTGACTCTGGTGTCACTCCAGGGGAGAGCACTGTTGAGTGTAGGCTGTGGCTCATAGATATACCACAGCCACATAATATAATAATCAAGATCATGCACTTCAGTAAGGCATGCAGGAAAGTAGGATTGTTGACCATTACTTATAGAGTACTTAGCTTATGGGGACTAAGAAAAGTCTGAATGTCTACAACTTTTGGACTGTGTACGCCAAAGGGAGAAATGCTGTGGCATTGAACTATATCTCAATAAGGCTGTTAAAAAATAGGGGTTTGGGAGCCAATGTCCACTTTTAGTGGATGCTTCTGTGAAGGTTTAATATTTAGAAGGAGTTTGAAGGAAGAACTGTGACATAAAGCTAATAGAGAAAGAATGGACATGTCAATCACAAGATGATCACTGAACATGAGAAACAAAGAATACTATTTTACAGCATTCTCCAGCTTTTACATGTTCATTCCACAGTATCTAGTAGTCAATCAGGGGATCTGTGATATGGGAAAGGCTTAAGGGTTAATTTCTCTCTTTGTCCTCAAATGAGTGACTCCCATAATTGGAAAAACTCACCTGTTGACATGTCAGAGGAGTGAGCTTTGGACTCAATTAGCTTTGGACTCACCTAGAGTTAATAGAAACCCCAACAGAGATACAGTTATTAGGAAAAGAAATCATTAATTATTCATTGGAACCAGAGACTCAGTGTCCAAGGCAACAGACACGGGGGAAGCTCTCTCTCTGTCTCTTGCTTGCCCAGCTGAATTGCATTTTTCAGGTGTGCATCCCACCTGTGGAGATGGCGCAGAACAGGGTCGGATGCCCAGCCCCCAGGGCGGCCTCAGCTCTTGGTGATCTTGGAACGCAGCACCCAAACATGTGTAGCAACGAATCCTGACTTTTGACCTGCTTGGAATCATACTCCATGTTGCCCTTCCTGCCGTTTTACATGCCAGTGATTCATCTTTCCTGTTTTTAGAATAACTGTTTTGTGGTCCTATCCAGAACACTGAGTCACGCACACTCACTAATCTCCCCACTTACAAGAGTTCAAGATCTTAGAAACCTGGAACTCTTACCCACCTGCTAGTCATTAAAACAATTAAATTTGGTAGGAGCCCCAAAACAAAGCTATAAAAAACATAAATGGGTCATCTTACCTCCTAGTCCTGTATGCAGAAGGATAAATTGCATTATTGTCTAGGGTAGAAGCTGAGGCTCTGAAACAATAACGCATTCACAACAAGAAAATGGAAGGGAGGGTGGAATTCTTTTGTTGTTTTCTGTCTAGATATCTAACGCCCATAACCCCTCGTGGGAGGAGCTCTTGCTCTGTTTTGACTGACGTTGTAATTCGCTTTTAAGTATAATCCTGTACTTGTTTATTTTTCTCCACTGTGTGTACACGAGTTTTAGTTCATTAATTATTAGCATCTTTTTACTGAGCACTTAACCATTCTTAGTACTAGGTATGGCAGTAAATAGACAAAGTTCATGCTCTGTTGGAGCCAATGTTCTTTGACCATGTGATCTGGCTGTATTGCTACTTTGCAAGTTGGATGGAATGTTTTACATAGGCAACTAGAATCTTCTTTAGTCTTCTTTTTGGTAACCATATGAATTATGACAGCAATTATCATCTATGCCATGGTTCATGACTGTCATTTATGTCCCACTCAGAGGAATCACTGTCTCTTCTGGGCCTGGCATTTTGTGACAAAATTTATTCTACTCTCTTTCATAGGAATCCTTAGAACCTTCCATGACTTGGTGTGCTTCCTTTAAATATCTTTTTAGAAAAAGTTTTAGGCATTTCTTACAATTTAAATAATGCTAGAAGAAAACATTAAAATGGATATAGCAGGAAGTAAACACCAATTCAGAAACTATGGTAAGGTAACATTTGAGGTGGGAAAGTGGAGATGAAGTGTAACTCACTTTACACAAGAGGAATAATGGTGTCCATGACTTCTCCATGCTAAGAGCAGCATTTTTCAGTTTGATTTCTACTTAGAAATTGGTGTTATTACTCCTCTCCACTTAGGTGAGTACGGCTAAGAAAAGAAGATTCTGGAAAGAAAAGGCTACGAACCTAAGTAAATAGAATACCAGCAATACAGGCATTTTGAGGAGCTTGGTTGTGGCAACGCTGTATTTTAAATAAAGTTAATGAATTTATCCCGCTTATTAAACACTTCTTTGTGCCAGGTGTTTTGTGATGGGTAAGTGTGGAAGTACGGATTTTAAACAAAGGTGTAATTGCTTTTGAATTTAAAGAGTGAATACGGGACAATTGGAAATACAAAATTGAGAATTATGCAATATCTACAAAGGCTCTCAGTAGGACCTGAAATGATCAAGAACAGTTAATAACATAATAAAAGGAAAAAAAGGAGGAGTAGGCAAAGAAAACTCTGGAATCAAGTAGAAAAGTGAAAACTGCTGGCAAAGACATTCAAACAATTTCTATTGAGAAGAAATAAATTATGATAAACTGTGATAAATGTGACAATGAAAGCTAAGTATGAAGTTAAGTAGTCAAGTCATAGATAGTTCAGAGATGAGAATGTTACATTTGGGAATTACATTTACATTTAAAAACATTTTGTATTAAGCCAAAATGCAGACCTACTAAGTTTGGCATATTCATTGAGCTATCTTTAATGTTTCTTCTAAAAAACAGGTGACATTTGTAACAATGATAAAAATTTCTATACAGAATCTACTTCCTCAGTCTTATCTAGTTCCATTTAAAAAAAATATGTTCTATTATATTATATAGTTAAGTCAAAATCAATTACCACTCTGAAAACTTGCTTTACCCTAAGTTCTGGCTAGATAAAGCACTCCAAGTTTTACTATGGACTGTTTCTATAAAACTGCCATTGCTTCCAGTTTTGTTTTGTTTTATTTTTTTAAGGAATAGAATATACTTTCACAAATTTCCATAACGTGTCTTAAGAAAAGGAGGCACCGCCATAATTATGAGATTGTTGAGGTAGTGTTTGGAATTCTCCATATGAGCCAATCAATATAAGGAAATGTACATATATTGTTAGTGTTGTAAACAGTGCAGCCTGAAGCCTGAATCTATCCAGAATGGATGTAACCAATTTTAACATCATGTTACAGATAACTAAGCATTGAAAAATAAACCAAAGAACCGCAGTATACTCTACCTTTAACTTTTTGTAAATCATGTTTTGTGGATACTTTCAGTTTTACCATAAGGCTGATATATTTCAATGTTTTGAAAATATCATTATTAATTTTGAGTTGGCAGAGGTAACCTAACCAACTACCTTTGGTACTAAGAGATATACCTTTCAATAAAATTATTGAAATGCAAAAAAAAAAAAAAAGCTAAGTATGAAGTGATAATCAAATTTAGACAGAGGTGTCAGAGAGATGATATTTAACCCAGACATTAAAACAAGACAACAAACTAGTCTTGGAATAGGGAAGGGAAGGTGAAGAGGAGATGAAATGGGAAATAGGTATTTCTAATTAATTTGAGCAGTTCATGCAAAGGTCTTGGGGTGAGACAGACCTAAAATTCAAGGAAGGTTTCTGTCTGGCAAGGGATAAAGACAGAGACAAATGATAGAAAATGTCTCAGAAAAATTAAACCGGGACCTCATGCTACACATCTTACAAGCAAGGTTAAATAACTTGCATTTTATTTTAAGCTTAATGAGAATCTATAAAAATATTTTAAGTGGGAATGTGCCATGCTTTCACTTAGTTTTTTTAAAGATCAGGCAAGAAATGAGATAAGATTTGAGGGGGAGGATACAATGAAAACTAGAAAATTTGCTTCTTATTGGTTCATAATTACATACAGAGACCACAAAATGATAGCTATTTAAGACTGGAATTTAATTTTCTCTTAAAAAAGGAACATTTCAGACCTCACCTCTACCTTTCCCAGAGAGTGCCTCTGTCCTCAAAATAACCTTGTGCTTACAACATAGCTGATGCAGCCCTTTCATTCCTTCATTCTGGGTTGGAAGAAAGAGGCAGGTTATTCTCTTACAGTGTCTACCCTCCTTTTAAAGACCTTCTGGACTAGAGATCTTACGCCCTTACTGGAAGCCCCATCCAGCCCTTTGGCTGACAGCCTAGCAGGACTCTATAACTCCAAGCTGCAAGAGAGCCTGAAAACTGTAGCTTTTTCAGCTGACTACATTGTCACCCTCAACAAAATCTAAATTTTGTTCTAAAACGTAAGGGAAAAACTGATTTTTGGTAGGCATTGCTGGGCTTGAGATATGTTTGAAAGTAGAATCTGTAGACCTTCCTGAGTAGAAATGGAGAATGGAAGGGAATGAATGGCAATCAAGATAGGAGAGAAGATTATGGAAAACAGGATCGGGGAATCAGAAGTCCACCTGAAAAATGCGAAATTTAAAATACCTGCAAGATAATTAAGTAGCTTTGTTAAGCAAGCTTGGGAATTTTTTTTTAATGGCACTGGCTGGAGACATAAATTTGGAATTGAATCAAAGATGGAATGAGTTTGCCTGGGAAGATGCATAGAAATAACAGAGAGTGATTGAAGATTTCAAACAGAAAAACACCAGTAAGTAAGGGCCAGGGAGGTAAGAAAAGAGCGAGCCAGCAAATGAAACTGAAAAAGGCCAGTGATTCAGGCAGAAAACCAGGAAAGTATACCACTGCAGCCCAGACGGGAGAAACTAAGGGAAGTCAACTTGTGTAAAGATTTTTAAGAAGTTGCGATAGTTGAGGATAAAGATGTATTTACTAGATTTGACAAATGGTGGTCATTAGTGACATTGAATAAAGTAGTTTTCAGCCAACTGAGAGGGTAGAAGTCAACTGAGCTGAGTTAAAAAGTAAATGGAAATTGAAGAAGTGCTCAGAGCATGTGAAAGATCCCGCTTAAAATATGTCTGATTTAGAGAGGAGGACAGTGCTAGAGTAATTGCTGGAGAAAGAACTGAGAAAGAGGTTGCATTTTCTGTTCAGTTCAGAAATACTAGAGAATCTTTACCTACTAAGGGAAGTCGTCCAGTAGAGGTGACAGGGAAACTGACAGAGGTGCATTTGTAAGAAGGCTAAAAGGGATGGAATTAGGATAGAGGGGATAGAGGCCAGTGCGGCTCATGATAGGAGTCTTCCTCATCCTCTGTAATGCTACAACTAGGGTATGAACATTATTTCAGAATTGATGTTCAGTCAAAGGGGTCTTCAAGTTTTGTGAGAATGATGTGTGGAATCTTACTACAAATTTCTGTCTGACATGATTGCAGGCAGGCTACTGTGGGGAGACCAGGTTAGCAACAGCTCCTGTGAGATGCAACTGTGTCCTGTTCTGCAGGGATATGACACACTTTATAAGTAAAATTTTAAATTTTTCTTCAATAAGACACACCGAATATATTTTTCCTCTTCCCTTTCTCCTTTTTCACTCTTCCCTTTTAAGATTTTTGTTCCAGAACTTATTTACATGAATGCTTAACTCAGCTGGACTCGAGACATTGTATTTCGACTTTAAATACTTACTTCTAAAATTGGTATGTGTCTGGGTAATGAGCTGTCTTGGTTTTCCCAGGACCACAGAGTACCTTGAATATGGACCTGTCCACACTAACTCCGACAAGTCCTGAGCACACCTGAATGGCTGGCCACCCTGAGGGTTAGCTAAAATGTAAAGATAGTTTAAAGATCTTTAACCTCATGGTAAATAAAATATCAAAACACATTATTATTTCTTCTCAGTTCTCAAACAGACTTAAAATATAATATTTCTGGTAATATAGGACCACACTAGAGTCTTTAAGAAATGCAGTAACATTTGTAGTGCTGATAAACCTAGCTTTGGAGTCAGAAAAATCTACATTTAAATTCCTGGCACTATTGCTCTATTAGCTTGAATAAGTTCATGAGTCTCTCAAAGCTTCAGTTTCCTCATGAATAAAATGGCATGAGTCCTGTCTCAGTTTGGCATGGTGGCCCAGCTATTGAAGGGACTGTTGCAAGTGGATCACAAGTTCAAGGCCAGCCTGGGCAACTTACTGAGATCCTGTCTCAAAGTAAAATTTTTAAAAATGGATCGGGAGTTATTGGAGATGGAGTGGTTAAGTGCTTGCCTATACTTTCAAGGCCCTGGGTTCAATTCCCAGTTCTGCAAAACAAAACCAAACAAAATTTAATATACCCTGAGTTGTTCTGAGCATCAAACAGGATAATACATGAAAGGCACATAATACCTGTAAGTATAGATACTGACATCAATAAATAGCATCTGAGCTCTGCCCAATTCTACATACTGAAACACATGAATTGCACTTGCTATTCA